TGGCCACATGACCACGGAAACGTCTTTGGACAGTGCTGACTCTTCGGCTTGGAAACAGAGATGAGCACCGCAACCCTAGAGTCGGATTCGACTGGCTTTCGAGCAAGGGAACCTTTACCTTTTTATGCCTGTGGCCACCACTACATCCCCTGGCACCGACTGCCTTCAGAAGGCCAAGAGAATTCCCCCTCCCTAAGTATTCCCTCAAGTCCCAACTAATCCAGTTCCCACAGGAAAGCACTTATCCCAGGGCCAGCCGACACACGGGGAGGTGGTCCATCTCCCTCCCCCCACAAGTCCCCTCAGGACTTCTCACTTTAAAGGTAAAGGTAAAGGTTCCCTTGCTCGAAAGCCAGTCGAATCCAACTCTAGGGTTGCGGTGCTCACCTCCGTTTCAAAGCCGAAGAGCCAGCGCTGTCTGAAGACGTTTCCGTGGTCATGTGGCCGGCATGATTAACAACCACGGCGAACGCTGTTACCTTCCCACCGAAGCGGTACCTATTTATCTACTTGCAATTTCTTGCTTTCGAACTGCTAGGTTGACAGGAGCTGGAACTAGAGACGGGAGCTCACTCCACCATGCAGCCCCCGACAAAGTCCAGTGGGAGGATAGAAATAAAGTCTCGCCAGGGGTTAAGGTAAGAACGTCTTTATTCAAGTTCAAAAAGCACAGCACAACATTCCTTTCTCTTGCCCCTCTGTCTGGCAAAATGTTAGCAGTCAGGGAAAAAACTGATTCGAACCCACGTCTTACAAAAAGAGACCCCGCTGAAGATCTTTGCTCCATGGCCCGGTGGCGACTACTACTGCTCAGCAATTTCATGGAGTGTCCACGAGTTCTTGCATTGTGAGAAAGGGAGAAAAATACTACTTTCTCTACCTTCTCTATCCTACGCATAATTTTGTAAACTTCTGTCGTTTATCCAGGCGAAAGAGCCCTGACCTCTTTAACCTCTTCAGAGGGAAAGTGTCCCATCCCCTTAATCGTTTTAGTTGCCGTTTTCTGCCACTTTTCCAACGTTATGTCTTTTTTTGAGGTGTGGTGACCAGAACTGTACGCAGGATTCCAAATGAGGACGCACCAGCGATTCATACAGGGGCACGATGGCGCTCGCTGATTTGCTTTCAATCCCCTTCTGAATAATCCCCAGCAGAGCGTTGGCCCTTTTTTATTGCAGTCGCAGCCTGAGTCAACATCTTCAGTTATCAGTTATCTGTCTTTTTAGCATCTCTGCATATGTGTGTGCAGGGGTCATTTCATAGAAAAAGAGGTGCAGGAGCTCATTAGCATAACTCATTAGCATAACTTATTTGCATATGCCACACCCCCTGACATCACCGGAAGTGTGTCAGAAGGCAACACCCACCGCTCAGGCTCCACTGGACTGTTTTGGATTGCTAGCTATTGGGGGGGGGGAATGTGCAGATCTGTCCTCGCAGAGGAGGGAGAGCTTGTGCCTGAATAAAACTTGGTCTTAAAGGTGCCACTGGACTGTTTTTGGCCGGGGGGGGGGCTCTGTAACTTACCTGGCTTATTCTTGCTCTGACTGAGGGCTGCTGGGAGCAGGGGGTGGGGCTTGTTGCATGTGCCCGCCCCCTGGGCTCTTTACTGCCGGAGCTCCGCTCCTGTGCGCTCCTGCAGGAAATGACCCGTGTGTGTGTGTGTGTAATCCTTGGCAAGCACTGTGCAATGCATGTGGGTGATTGCACATTCCTAGGTTTCACTATATAATGATGTAACCGTAGCAGCTTGCAACTTGATCCTTACCTTTGATGGAGGTGGCACACATCCTGACCAATGAAATCTCTGATACCAGGTTTGTTGACCAGTTTAATTATATTTTAGGTTTAAGTTCTTCAAATTATTCCGAATAAATATAAAAATAAAAAATACAATTAATGAAATTATACAAGTAGCCTGATTTTAATCAGGCTACTTGTAAAATTTCATTAATTGTATTTTTTTATTTTTATATTTATTTGGAATAATTTGAAGAATTGACATGGCTATATTTATGGCCCAACATAAGCTAGTAGCATAACTAAAAGCATATAAGGAAATTTCAGCAAAAAAAAATTCTATTATTATTATTGTTTTATTTTTTATACAGTTGGTATGTAATAATTCGGCTTTCTCCCCCCCCCCTC